TACTACTCTGCCCCAACTAATTATAACTTAAATCCAATCCTACATCAAGGTCTACATCTGTTACCAGATCATTAGGGGTTTCATATACCTTGGACCGACCAAAAATATTAATTTTTATACATAGGGACAAAAGTATAAATATAAAAATTCTTAACGGGTTAACGATTTATCCAATAAGGAAGTTGAGTAATCCGCCCCCAAACCGTTAAGCCGTTAATTATAAAATTTCAAATCGCTCACCAACCATTACCCCGATAACCTGATACCAATAAGCAAATAAGCCATTTTACTATTTGGTTAACGGTTACGGTTTGGGTTTGAACAGACTTATTTACCCAAGTACTAACCTAAATCATAATTTTTAGGAAGCTTTTATGATTCAACAATCGTCAAACCATTATCATTATTTATAAAAAGAAAATGCATAAAGACCCAATTTAACTTGTCCTGAAAAATTATTTACACACCTAAACTTTACGGGTGTCCTAACACCCCACTATTGTTAGAACAATTATATTTATTTACTTCCTCCTAAGCCCTGGCCCAACTATAATTACTTGAGTGGGAAACCTACGCTTTATTATGAAGCCACGTAATTAAAATATTGAGTAAATAAAAATAACAGCCTTCCACTATTTACTAACACTCTCATTCACCCCGTTAGTTAAAATTTCCCAAATTCAAGAACCTTAATACCCAACCTTCGAAGATTCGATTTGCCTCATCAAAATCGATTTACCTGACCAAAGTCGAAGGGACCTGTTGCAAAATCCTTCGATTTCATTGTCCTCTAAGGTTCGGTTTGTTGTTATTCTTTCATTTGACGAGTTGGTGGAAGACCTGTTCGAAGCTGAAACTCTTTGGAGAATCAAGTTCGAACGTTGAAGTTTAATTATCTGTGAAACATTATCTACGTTTGGAGGTAAATCCATCAACCCTAGCCTTTTCTATCATCAACCATAAACGTTATCTCTGTTTTAGTTTGTTTATTATCATCCGTAACTAGGGTTTTGAACTTGCTTCAACTTTCTTCGCTGTAACTTTTTCAATGTAAAATCCAGTAACATAAATACAATTTTTAAGGTGTAATAATAACCAAATTTCAGCTTTTTCTTGTTGCATGTGTTGTCTCTTGTTATGTCGGGGTCTAATAGTAACTGTTAATCCTTAATTAGTTTATTTTCTATTATATTCAGGTATTTCAATGTCTTTTATACTTGTTACACTGAGTTTTTTCCATGGTGAAAAAATCTCCATGGATAAGTTACATTCCTTTTCAATGGAGGATTATGTTGGTGGGATGATTACTGATTGTGTTGATGTCGATGTCGATGTTGATATGTTTTTATATTTTGAGTTTCTAGGTTATGTGAAAGAGTTTGGGTACAATAGTTCTTCTGCTGTTATTTATGTTAGACCACATAATTGTCCTGGTTTAGTAGTAATTAAGGTTGATAGGGACCTTATGGGTATTTGTGAAGAGTTAAAAAATGAGGATATTTTGGAGGTATATGTAGATCACATAGTTAATGGTGGTGTAGTGGTCCCCCCCCATTAGAATATGTCATCCAAGTGGGGGGTGGGGGGTGATAGTAGTGTTACTTTTGAGAAGGAATATGGTCATGATTTGGGGGGCTGTGAGGGTTTGGGAACTTTTGAAAAGGCATCCAATGCTGCAAAAAATAGTACCAAAAATAGTGTACCTACAGCTGTTACTACTAATGATAGTTCAAACTCCTCATCTGAATCAAACTCATATGAATCTAGCAGCAACACTGATAATAGCTCAGATTCAAAACATAAGGAATTATTTGAAGAAGGAGAAGCTGATTATGGCAGTGATACACATGAGGAGTACAAGGCATTTAAGGCAGAAAGAAGGACTGTAGAGATAAGGAAGAGGAAAGAAAGTGCTCCTAAACAAGAACATGATAAACTAGGTAAGAAAGAGCCAGATGTGGGGTATGATGAATATGAATCTAGGAAGAAGAAGAGTTTGGAAGGTAAGATAGGTGGTGATGAGACTTATTACCATTCATATGAAGCTGCTAGATTTGAGACAGATCCAAATGATGTTGATGATGAAGGTGAAGGAGAGGTTCAACAGAAAGTTAAAGCTAGAAGAAGAAAGACTAAAAGAAGAGTAATCTTTGACAAGACTTGCATTTGCAAGTGTACGAGATTTCAGAGAAGCTGTAACTAAATATGATGTTCAACAAAAGGTTTCTATAGAAAAATATCTAAATGAACCTACAAGGGTGAGGGTTAAGTACAAAAGGCATCTTGTCCTTGGCTTCTAGTTGCTAGTTATGATTCTAGGACTAAGGATTTTGTAGTCAAGAACTACAATCCAATTCACAAATGTGACCCTACTAATAGAAACACGCTATGCAATTCAAAGTTCTTGGCCAAAAAGTTCAATGAGAGGATAAAGGAATAACATAACATTAGAATATTCAAGTTTCAGGAGTTGATTAGACAAAAAATGGTATTGTATGTTGGGAGGACTATTTGTAGGAGGGCAAGAAATATTGTGTTGAATAAGATAATAGGTGATCATAAACTCGAGTATGGCAGAATATTATATTACAGGGATGATTTTCTTAGATCTTATACATGGAGTACATGTGTAGTGAAGCTTAGTGATGAAACTTTTGAAGGTGGGAAGAGAATGTTTGTTGGGTTCTATATTTGTTTTGATACAATGAACAAGTCATACTTGGCTGGTTGTAGAACGTGCATTGGGTTGGACGGATATTTCTTAAAAGGGGTATGTAAAGGCCAACTATTTGTAGCCATTTACAAAGGTGGAAATAAACATATGCTTTCACTTGCTTGGGCTGTTGTTGAGATTGAAAATATGCGCAATTGGAGGTGGCTTGTCAACCTTTTAAAGGATGATCTTCAGCTTAGAAATGGTACAAATCTAATCATTATAATAGACATGCAAAAGGTAAGCACTTGTAGTTTATTCTTATTTTCCTATTGCTATTTAACTTAAAACTAACTATCATTGTTCATTTTGCAGGGGCTTGAGAATGCTATAACAGATCTACTTCCAAATGTGTTCAAACCACATCCTAGCTAACTGGTCTAAGAAATGGAGGGGTATAGAGAGAAGGAACTGCTTCTGGAGGTGTGCAAGGTCAACCTATGAGTGTGAGTTGAAGAAAAATCTGGATGAAATGAAGAAATTGGGTAATAAGATAGTTGATGAACTGTTGTACTACAACATAAAAAGATGGAGCAAGGTGTATTCAACACATTCTGCATGTGTGACAGTGTTAGCAACAATATGGTAGAATGTTTCAATGCTTGGATTTTGGCTGCAAGGCAGAAGACTATAGTGACAATGCTTGAAGAAATAAGGGTGAAGATGATGAACAGAATAGGTCAACTCAGGCAGTTTGGAAACACTCGGATTACTAATTTTTCACCAATGGCCATGAAAGTCTTGGAAGAGAACACACACAGGTCAATGAAATGTAACATTTTCTGGAATGGTTAGTTTGGATTTGAAGTAAAGCAAGGATCAAGTGCAAGTGAAGTGAAGCATCTAGTGGACATCAATAGGCAAACATGCACCTGCAAAGCTTGGATGTTAAAAAGCATACCATGTGCTCATACAGTTGCTGCCTTGCATAATAAAAATCAGGAGCCTTTGAACTATATTTCTCACTGGCACAGTAATGCCACTTACATGAAAATATATAATTACTTTCTTCATCCTGTTTTGGGTATGAATATGTGGCCAGAGTCATAAAACCCAATTGTTATACCACCTCATGTCAAGAAGATGCCAGGCATGCCAAAGAAGGTTAGAAGAAAAGAGCCAGGTGAAAATAAGACAGGAAAATTATCCAAAAATAGAGTGAAAATGACATGTAGCAATTGTCATAACAAGGGTCATAACAAAAAGAGTGTCATAAAGCTGCTGGAAGTAATACTGCTGCTACTTCAGCAAGTTCTGTGCTGCAAGTGTTGGTAGTTCAAAGCCACCAAAGCAAAGTACTAGAAGAGGAAGGGGTAGGCCAAAAGGTTCTAAAGAAAAGGTGAAGTTCTTCCCTTTAATGTCTTCTTTCTCTTTTTTAAATAATTAACAAATTCTTACTTTTCATTGGTTGGTGTAGGATATTGGTACTAGTAGTGATGTAAGAACACAATATAACAGGCCAAGGATGATTGGGGTGGGAGTTTTACACACTCAAAGTGGCTTTAAATTTCAAAATGTAAGTTCTAACACTACCTCTCATATTTAGGTAAATTCATTCTCTGATTTTCTGTTGGATTTTGGCAGCCTGGAATGTTCTCTACAAACTTTAAGAATGTGAGGTCTTCAACAAAAGTAACTGGAGATCCAGGCCATCAACCAATAGGAGGTGTTAAATGGATAGGCAAAGAAGTTATGACATCAAGACAGCTTCAACAATTGAGAAGCAAGAAACTCATTTAAACAAGGTCTAGGGCTGCTAAGTTGAGCCAGGAAAGCACCACTACAAAACCACCCAATTGATCAAGATACTGTTTTGTGGATGACTGTATTGCAATAGACTGCATTATGATAAAATCTTATGTAGCTATAGACTACAATTCTGTATTATGATAAGGATTTTTAAGCAGCTATAGACTGCATTTCTCATTTTGTTATCTTATAGTGTCTGTTTTGCTGCTGCTACAATAAGAACAAATAGATGTTTTGTTATCTCATTTTGTGGCTGTTTATTAGGTATATTTCTTTTAGGTCAATGAGACCAAATATGTATTTTTATACAGTTTATGCAGCTGCCATATTAAGTCTTTTGTGTGTCTATTGTTGATATTAAACACTAAAAATAGATGTATGAAGATACACGTTTGATTGATTGCCAAGTTCTGGGCATACAAAGAAACAATAAGAACGCACATACAACACTTCAAAATGTAAAAACAACACTTCATTAGAATTAACACTTGATTACATTTCGTTGAAAGGTTTATTAAATTCAAATGAAAGGTCCATTACAAACATACAAAATAATACCTATAAGCAACAACTACATACATATTGAGATGACAAAATTAGATTCAAAATGGAAACCTCATTGAATCTTCTTTCAATGACATTTCTGGATACCTACAAGCAACAAGTATAATACACATCCCCAATATAATGAACCAAAGTACATTTTTTCTAGCCTTGGACCTAGCCAATTTGCTCTTCCACTTTTTTTCCTTCTCTTTCATCTTCTCCATATCAACAATTTCACCAATTGAGCCTCAATCTTCTTCATCTTCTCCTCTTCTATGGTGTTTTCAACCTTTAAAGTTGCCCTCGGCTTGGCAAGATTTTCAGAGTCTTCTAATGCAGTCTCAAGTTCACCCATTTTGTCAAGCAAATTTGGAATAACAAATTTGGACATAGGATCAATTTCGGAATCCTTCCAAACCCAAAAATCACAAGATCGTGGACCCTAAGATGAATAACAAAAGAAAATTAATCAATGATAATTTTTCACAACTCAATTATTGAAAGAATTTTCAGTATTATTTACCCCTTAGTATGGACAAACCCAATATCTTCTTCCTGGGTTCCTGTGGGTCCAAGCTGTTAAGAAAGGCAACACATAGCCATGGTTGCATCAAATTTCTCCACTTGACTCATTTTCTTCCTCTTCCGTGCAAAGCCTTGTCAAATTCAAGCCTTTTGAAGGCATTGCAACAACTACAACACAAACATACGATACCAAAGTCAGATAATTTGCCGATAAAAAAATTAGAAACATCAGCCATATTACAATATTTAACCGAGAGAAATTGAATTTTAGGAGAAAGACATAACAATAATAAAATAAGAAATTAGGGTTCTTAAAGAGGAGAAAGATTAACCTTTGCTTTCAAAGATTAAAACTTCAAAGGGCAATTTGATGCAATTTCGGCAGAATTTAGATGAAGAAGAAATTAGGGTTATTCAATTGGGTTTGGTAAAATATTGGGGAAGAATGGATTTTATCGTTGGTTGGGATTTATATTGAAGTTAATAATTTAATTTTATCTTTTTTTGGGGTGTTTTTAACGATTAAAAAAGAGCAAAGACGCGCTCGATTACGTTGTCTAAGATGCGCGGTTGGCCAAGGCTTAGGAGGGAGTAAATAAATATAATTGTTTTAACAATAATGAGATGTTAGGACACCCTTAAAGTTTAGGTGTATAAATAATTTTTCAGGACAAATTAAATGGGTTCTTTATGCATTTTCTCTATTCATAAATTCAAACTTACAAGCAACTAGGAAAAATAGAACTACAAGAGCAGGTGACCAGCATATGGCAGAGATCCGACCATGCTTCGTAAAAAGTTCTGTATTTTATATATTTTTATGCAAAATTTGCGTGCATACACTATATATGACGACACTCCTTCAAAATAATGGAAATAAAATATTAATTTGGGACAAAAAAAAGCTTTAAAATTACCAAAGTCTTACGCAAGAAAAGTGTAAATTTGCTTGATCAAATTAAAATATTCCTACCACAAAAATGACAATATCCTTGTATTAATTCTGATCAATGCATGCATTACCATAATAGGTTCCATAAATGCAAACAACAAGCTAGTCGTTTAAGAAAAGTACTCAAAAACCAAAGTAGAAAAGAGAAAATCGACGAAAAGAAATAAGAAAATTAATAATAAGATGAAGGAAAAATCTTTAAATTACTAATTTAGTGTCTTAATCAACCACATCAACCTTGACTGAGCAAGATAATAACCTACGAAAAATGGAAAACAAAGCAGCGCATGATATCTCCTTAGCTTTTCTAAATCCATTTGTATAATCTTTAGTTCTGCGACTCCGAGCACTACTTGAATTATCACCAATATTACGAGCTTTTCGTTTTATTCCATAGTATTTCAGTACTATTTTTTCACAAACGCTCTCTTCTTTTGAAAACGGGTAGCTTCTTAAGTATAATTGCCTGTATGAAAAGCTATCCAGCACGTTAGGCTTAGGATGATTGCACCCAATATTGCTATTCTGGTTTATTTTTGAGCTGATTAATTTTATGAACTGGACGTCAGATTCTGGCCATTTGTACAGGTTTACGTATGTTGCTCTTACAGGTGCTCTAGCCATCTTGATTTTCTCATCATCAACGCATACGCTCTCTTCTCTTAAAAATGGGTAGCTTCTTAAGTATAATTGCCTGTATGAAATGCTATCCAGCACCTTTGGATTATTTGGATGACTGCACTCAATGTTGCTATTGTCGTTGTTTAACCTTGAGCTGACGACTGATTTTATGAACTCAGCGTCCGATTCTGGCCATTTATACAGGTTCACATATGTTGCTCTTACTGGTGCTTTGGCAAGTTCGTTAACGCAATTAGTTGATATGCAGGCGGATGCCATCTTGGTTAATTTTCCGGCGAGAATTTAACTTATCTCACTTACCTCTCAATCTGAAAAATTAGGTAGCTAGCTAGCATTATGCCTACAGTATTTATAACGAGAGAAAAATCAGTTTTGATTACAAATTAGGAAACCTAATCCCGTATTATGTTTACTACAAAACCTATTTAGATATGACTTAAAAGAGACTGGCAAATACAAAATCCTAAGTAATTTAGGATTACTAATACTCTTGTTTTAATTCCAATAAGGTCCGCTTCACTTTCTTTTGTAATCGGATTACAGTTTTGAAGCGCCGTCGATGTAGAATTGAGGCAAGGGCCTCAAGCCTACGACGCCGAATCACTTACAGTTCAGCCCGCTTCATCCTACAACCATAAATATCCATTACAGTTTTACACTTCTTCTATACTGTCGTCTGCTCCTTGACATGGCCTTAAGTAGCGTTATGTCGGGTGATTTGCATAAAAGTGATATTTTTGCGTTATTTAAATGCTATCTTCAGTTTGACATTTGTGCATAAATAGCCTTTTCATATTTAATTAAAATATTAGACTAAAATATCTGTAAGTTACAATTGAAGCGCAATGGAGTATATAATTTCTATTCTAAAAAATAATAGAGTTTTAATTTACTGCAAAAAAAACCACCGTACACATACAAGAACCAAAATTAATGGTTCTTTTTAGAATTAAAAAGTGCAAGAGAGTTCTCAGAGATACCTGATTGAGGGACTTGGCCCGGTGACTTGGCATGCTTCTTTGACCAAGGAATGCATTTATCTTTTTTCTCTATTTTTTGGGATTTCTTACTATTTTTTCCCCTAATTAAGTAATGTCAAGGGAGGTTCTGTGGAGATGTTTGGAGGCTAAAAGTGTTCCTGTTGCTTACAATAGGGTTGTTAAGGACATGTATGATGGAGTTAAAATTCGAGTGAGGACCGTGGGAGGGGACTCAGAACACTTCCAAGTTATGATGGGGTTGTATCAGGGGTCTATAACGACCCGACTTGTCGTTTTAAGTAATTACTCTCCTTTCTACTATTTGAAGTCTTGAATAGTTTCATATGATGTATTATGACGTGTGTGAATCGTAGGTTTTGATTTTTCAGGTGTTTTGGGATTAGTTCGGAAGAATGAATTTCATGTTGAAAGTTTAAATGAAAAGGGTTGACTGAAATTTGACTTTTGTGCAAACGACTCCATAATGGAATTTTGATAGTTCCAACAGCTCCGTATGATAATTTTGGACTTAGGAGTGCGTCCGGATATTTATTTTGAAGTTCATAGTTAAATTCGACTTGAAATGAAGAAAATAGGAAATTTAAAGTTTGGAAGTTTGACCGGGGAGTTGACTTTCTGATATCAAGGTCAGAATGATATTTTGAAAATTGGAATAGCTTTGTTATGTCATTTATGACTTGTACGCAAAATTTGAATTTATTCCGGATTGATTTGTTATGTTTCGGCATCGAACCTAGAATGTTCGACGTCGATTCTTCAAGAATACGTGATATCAAAATAAGCAAATAAGCTCCAAATTCAGTTTTGATTGAAGCATTAGATCCTTATTAAAATTACGGATCCATAGCAAAAAGAATCGTTGAATTCGGACATCGTATGAGAGAGTTATGCCTATTTCCGTGTCGGGAACGATTTTCCGTTGCCGCGAGCGCCCAGGGTAGCGTGGGGCGCTAGCGCTGGCGCTGAGAATTTTGGGATACTGGAAACTACGTCACAGGCAGAGCCCCATGCTACCTGTGGCACCCGAAACAGCTGAGGCCCTATAAACGGGGATTTTCAGCCATTTTTGACAAAAAACAAAGTTGGGAGCTCGGTTTAGGCGATTTTTGGGTAATTTTTACGGGAAAACATTGGGGTAAGTGTTCCTTATCATATATTGATTATATTTCATGATTCCATATTCATTTACATCATGAATCCGTGAATTTATGGAAGAAAAATTAGTTTTTTATAAAATCTTCCAAAAATATAAAATGAAGATTTGAAGGTCAATCCGATGTCGGAATTTGATAATTTTTATATGGTTGGACTCATATCGGAACGAGTGTTTGGATTTTATAAGTTTCATCAGATTCTGAGATATGGGCCCCACTATCGATTTTTAGAGCAGAGTTTGGAATTTTTGTAAATTATTAAATTGTAAGCATTAGAGAAAGTTGTGATTAATTTGCACGTTGTTTGAATAGATACGAGTCGTTTGGCTTGAATTGAGGAGATAGGAAGGCGTATGGAGGTTGATATGCGCGGAATAGAATTTTTGGAGTATTGTACAACTTGCTCGGTATTGGATTTGGCTTGTTCGAGGTAAGTAACTCTTCTAATCTTGGAGCTGAGGGTATAAACCCTGAATTATACGTGTTATGTGTCTGGTGTTGAGGTGACGCACATGCTAGGTGACGGGCGTGTGGGCGTGCACCGTGTGAACTGTGATTCCGTTATTCCTGTGGTACTGTGTAGTTACCTGAACTTATCTGAAATCATGAAAATTTCTATGTACTAGAGCTATTGATCTGATAATCATGTTAAAATCATGTTGAGGCTATATGCCGGTATTATTGAGACCCACAGAGATCATATTGTTGTTGAATTTGATTAAACTGAAATTTTAAAATTCAGTCATGTGCATTCATTTCATATCATCTCTCAGTTTCTGTTGCTATTTATTGATTCATCATATCATCATTTTTGGGCTGATTTTCATGACATTGTGAGCNCTCGACATGCACACTTGACATACATGCATAGAGATGCATTTTCCTCATGTTGTACGGTATCACGTCATTCATGACTTCTCACACATATTGACATTTGAGCATATTGATGCATTTTCCACTAGCTATGTGGAAAGAAAATGAAACATCTTATTTATTATTGAAAGGATTTTGAGAAAATTATTGTTTTCAAACTTATTCATATTTAGCTGAGCATTTTCCTCTGAATTACTTCTTGTACTATTTGCTTTACGTTGTTATGGACTATGGTGGATTATTGGTTTTGGACCCGACCTTAGTAAAAACTCGTCACTACTTTCAACCTAAGGTTAGGTTTATTACTTACTCAGTACATGGGGTCGGTTGTACTGATACTACATATCTGCACATTTCGTGCAGATGTTGGCTGCTGTTATTGCTGTGCTCGATAGTTGCCGAATTTGAAGATGTACCTGCGTTCTTATGGTAGCTGCCTCTTTTTCATGGTAGCCTTAGATTATAAAAACTCTGTTTATGTATTTTTCAAACAGAAGATGTATTTACTTCATATCAGCTTTGTAAATTCTATTCTTAGAAGCTCATGATTTGTACTACCAGTCCTTGGGGAGTGTATTATAGTCAGTTAATTATTAATTAAATCAGATTATGTTATTTGGCTTACCTAGCGGGTGAGGTTAGGTGCCATCACGACTAGTTAGATTTTAGGTCGTGACAAGTTGGTATCAGAGCTCTAGGTTCATAGGTTCTACAAGTCATGAGTAAGTGTCTAGTAGAGTCTTGCGGATCGGTATGATGACGTCCATACTTATCTTCGAGAGGCTACAGGGCATTTAGG